ATATTTATTCACCCAAACCATATTTGGTATCAATGTTATACCTAACACAGCTTGTTTCAGATAAACTACAGTTAAGTTTAGCCATATTTTGCAGAGTTTGAGTAATGATCAATCAAAAATAGATATAAACATTTCTGAACTACTACTCAAAATAGGGATAACAAGAAAAGAAAGAGGAAATGGGTGAGGGAGATGGGCAGGTTTGATATATAAATAAATAAAATATAACATGCTAAATGCAGATGGAGGATAGTGTAATGGAATATAGGCCAAAGTTGCATGAGTGAGATCTCTTTCCCAGCAAGCAAAGAGATAAAGAAACTTGGAATCTTTGATATGTAGAAAAGTGGACTCCTCCTTCAAGCTGTATCTGGTAGTTATGCACATAGGTATGGCAACGTTTGTTTCTATAGGTGAGCAACAATAAGGAAACTACTCAGAAGTCACTCCTAATGTCATTCTTGGTTCCTTGGGCCTAACAGATAGACTCATCCCCCCTCCCCACCCTAGTGGTGGGATTCAAATTTTTTTTACTACCGGTTCTGTGGGCGTGGCTTGGTGGGCGTGGCAGGGGAAGGACACTGCAAAATCTCTATTCCCTGCCCACTCCACTAACCTGTTTTCCAGCTCCATTCTCCTGTTCAGGGCAACAAAAGAAGACCCAGGTGATCATCTAGGACTTGGGAGGCAGAGAATAGATGGGGGCAGGGCCAGTCAGAGGTGGTATTCTGAACTACTCAAAATTTCTGCTACTGGTTCTCTGAACTATTCAAAATTTCCACTACTGGTTCTCCAGAACTGGTCAGAACCTGCTGAATACCACCTCTACCCCACCCCCAAATTATTCTTTTCTGAGATAGTTGAATGCAACATTCATGTTTACATATTTATTTGCAGTAAGGGTTCTTAAAAATAATGTTATAGCCATCTTTTACACATCATTTATGCTTCTGGGATGGCACCACATGGCCTCCACTGTATGGGGTGGTCAAGGAACAGAGAAAAGAACCAGAGATCATATTTGGGAAGGAGAGCTGGACGCTTCACCTCTCAGCCTCCCTATATAATAGCAACCCTTTTGCACCATCCAAGAAGTGGGTGATCTTTCTGAGCAGCCACAATTCATTGCAACTGATTTCAAAACTGGCACTCACTTCCAGAATAGTGGAAGTGGTTTCTGTGTAAGAAGGCCTTGCAGTAAAAAGGTTGCTTCTTGAAAAAGATTTATTGAAAAGGTAAGTGATCAAGTGAGTGGAGAGGTGCTGCAAGTGTAGGCCTGGACTAGAACAAGGCCTTCTAAGGTTTTCCCCTCTCTGATGCACCCATGCTCTGCTTAACGACCACAGCATGGCTCTCACCATCATAACTTGCAACCATAATGGGCAGGCTACATTACAGTCATAAGTCAACCTATATCATAATGGTCTTCAGCAGGGGTGTCAAACTCGCGATGACATGTTGTCATGTGACATATCGCAACTTTTCCCCCCTTCACTAGGGTGTGGCCAGCATATGATGCATTTGGCCCACAGGCTGCAGGTCGTGATTTTGAAATTCCTGGTTTACAGTATTCATACAGTATCTTATCCAACCAAGTTATTTTGGTACCTGAAGAATAAAATGTGCTTCTCCCACTTCCTGAGATAGAACAATACATCATCATCCAATTTTTTCTAATAACAGAGATCTAGGTAATATACATTTAGAATATTTCCAAAAATATTTTGTCCAGGTTATGTGAAAAAAAATATTTACCTGTAAAGTTTTGTGCTTTTAGGTGCAGATCATATAGTTTATGTATGTACCTAATGTACATCTCTTCTTTATTCAGTTCTGTTTTATAGAAATTCTGGAACCAAAGAAAATTATGAAATATCATTACAACAGATAATATAATTATATTCTACAATCACCCAGCTCAACTCTGCTGCTCTCTGTCCTGAAAAGGATGTGAATGTTTGTTCACAAATCTTAAGCAACTATTATATATTTTAAAAATTAAATAAAAAAGAAAGGAATACTTGTATGTGTGATGACCCAAAGTATACCAGAAATATAACAAAACCCAAAACGTAACTAAAAGTCCTTTAATGCCTTCAACTTGGCTTCACTGTTTAACTGTTCACAGTGGAGGACTAAACTATTTTCAAAATAGCATTTCAAAGGAAAGAAACACAGTTCAAATTCAAAGAGCTGATAACGAAGCAAAAAACTAAAACAAACTGCATTGAATAAAGTTCCATGACAGACCAGGATAGATAATTGCCAACTTCAGGAAGATAACCAGGGACAGTCCATTGGAAGAACGCCAACCAAGATAAACCTTCTTTAGAAATAAAACACTAATTGTCTCCAGCGGCTGTTAGCATGCAGATCCAAACTCTTATGCAAATCTCCCACCTGCAACCCATGAAGGGGATCATGGCCCTCTCCTCCCAAGTAGACCATGTTTTACCCTGATCCTCTCCTCCCTGCATGCCCTAGGATGGATAGGGGATGGGCCTGGATCCTCCTCTGACTGCTCAGCCGACCTCTGCCCTTCCCCAGCCTCCTCCACCACTTCTGGAGCGACACTTCCACCCCCTGTTGGCTGTTCCTCCTCTTCCTCAGTCTCCACCAGGGGCATGACAGTATGACTGACATATGTACATAACATATTAAAAATCCTAATTGATAAATAGGCTACTTTCCTAAGCTTAGGCATTTACAACCTCACAACATACCCCCACAACTACAATCACTAATTATATTATCAGAAGTAGTGGAGCTGTTGTTTGGTTGTTTTTCTTCCTTGCTTGTCACCATTTTTAAAGTGTAGAAATGGGAACAGAATAGCCTAAGGAAGGAAGGAAAGGAAAAAAACTTCTTTCAAAATCATGCCACCTAAATTCAGGAGCAGAATGGCTATTTGAATGAGAGGTCAAGGACAGACTGTCAGATGCCTCTCACTCCCTTGACCATCTTTTTAAAAGCAAAAACAATATTTAGGTTCCAAAAAAATCTGCCAAATGTGATATTCATGATTGGGAATTCAAGGGCCTGAATGCTTTGTCCAGCTTTGTAACAATTTTACTGCAGTTCTGGACTAAAGCTAATGTTACAGCTTTAAACAAATTGAATGGTATTGCAATAGACAACCTATATAGATTTTGGGGGAATTTATGTTGATTAATTATTTGAATAACGAAGCATATGTTACATGTATGTGACATAGAAAGTTCAGCAATACCTGACTATACCTACCAAAATAACTTTTGTTGATCTTAGAAACCAGGTGTACCTTGTGGATGGATTTATTCCCATCTCTCTACTAGGTATAACTTTTATATTTGTCCTGGTAAGAAGATGGATTTTTTCAAGTAAGAGTCATATTGTAATTAGGAATGAACTCTCCTGTTTGTGGATTTTTCTAGTACTATTTCCTTTGTTTGTTTTGCATTCTGGATTAGAAACACATTTATAACTAATTCACATATGCATGCACACCAACTAACAACTGAAATCTATGTTTGTTCTATCATCACTTAATGACTGCCTAACAATACAAGAGCACACAATAGACACAAACTCAAGGTTAACCACACCAAACTTGACTGCAGAAAATACAACTTCAGCAACAGAGTGGTCAAAGTTTGGAATACTCTACCTGACTCTGTGGTTTCTTCCCCAAACCCCAAAAACTTTAACCTTAGACTGTCTATTATTGACCTCACTCCCTTCCTAAGAGGCCTGTATAAGTGCACCAATCATGCCTACCGTCCCTGTCCTATTGGTTTTTTTATTTTTCTATAAGTATCTATCTCATGGATTCAAAACTATATTTATTCTTATACCTGTATCTTGTAAGTGATTGACAAATCAAATAAATACTAAAACAATACTAAATGATTTGCATATTATGAATGAGGCTTCATAGAAAAACATATTTCTAAACAAAGTGCTACACATAACTAAATTAAAACTTTGAGCATTATAACCTTGACTCAATTTTTGGCCGTTACAAATAGCTATCTTAAATAATAATACTATTTTTAGACACAGAATTGTTCTAAAATTATATTTAAAAAACTCCTGAAGCAAAACTTAGTCTTTTTCAACTAAGTTATATAAAGAAGGAAATGTAGAAATGTGATTATAAAAGTAGACCATAAGATTCATAGTCAAATAGAATTGTTCATTGATATGTTATTTGTCCCGGTGATTATTCCAAAGATTCTGACTTTCACATCTCTTCAGCCTGTAATATTTACAGAAAATCCACATAGGATCCCTATGGGCACAAGCATCGCTGCAATGTATCAAACATATCCTTGTGGATACTCAGAAAAGACTACATTACATAATGTAAATAAAACAGAATTGCAGAACAATACTGCAAGCTTAATCTCATGAGCTGAAATACTGGAATAGTCTTTCAAGGGGATAAGCAGGATTGTAAGTCATGCCTATGTTCTTCTACTTCAGGAAAATCTAATCAAAGGTATCTGAGATTGAAGGTAAAGTATTTACCAAATTCTGAGTCCATTTTGAAAAGAGTAATGAAAGAAAACAGCAGTTGGAGTCCATGCCTTAGATGAAAAAATACCCTGCAATTAAAATGTCACCAAGGATTCAGACTCTGGCAAGCTCTTGCTGTTGACAACTAATTGGCTTTTGAAATAAATAGCACAAATTTGGATGTTTCTAGCCCCTTCTTGCTTTTTTCTTTTTTATGAACAAAGGCATTCCAGTTTAGCCTTAAGTCTCACTTTTCTCCCCGTTACTGTAATCAACCCTTTACAATCCCTCAACTAAGGGGTTGTAAAGGGTTTGACAACCCCACTCACCAAAGGGTCTTCGTAGCTCTCTGACTGACTGGGTTCCTCCACTAGAGGGGTCGGGGTTCCTTGCACCATAATTGTGGGAACTCAATGACCGGTGATATCTTTGGAACGCGGTGGTGACTTTGAGGGTTTCCCTCCAACCTGCTTCTCTCTCTTTTGGGTGGACATTCTCACATAGCACTCATTTGCCCGATGACCTTCCTTCCCACAATGGAAGCAGGCGGCTGAGCGCAGTGAGGCAGAGAGAGGTTTGGTTTCCTCCCTTCTCCCTTCTGGCGGGGATCTCTTCCAGGAGCGGTTTGTGTGATACTTGTTTCGAGCTTGGTCAATTTCCACTTCCTCAGCCAAGATAGACCAGCTGTGCAGGCGGACTGGGGCTCCACAGGCAATGCAGGCGTTGTACAGGTGATCATTCAAGCCATCTTTGAACCAATTCATGATTGGTTCTGGCCAATCTATGTGGCAAGTCAGATAACAAAACTCTTCTATGTACTTGGTGACTGGATGGCGTCCCTGTCTGATGTGCCTTATATCAGTGATCCCCAACCTTTTTTATGCCGCAGCCCGGTACCGGCATCAGCTGGGCGCCGCGGCCCGGTACCGGCATCAGCTGGGCGCCGCCATCTTTTTTTGATGAAAAAGATGGTGGCGCCAGCGCTTCCGGTGAGCTTTTCCGGGTAGAAATGGCTTTCTACCCGGAAAAGCTCACCGGAAGCGCTGGCGCCGGCATCTTTTTTTGATGAAAAAGTGCTTCCAGTGAGCTTTCTACCCGGAAAAGCTCACCGGAAGCACTTTTTCATCAAAAAAAGAGGGCGGCGCCCAGCAAACCAGCGGCCCGGTAGGACTTGTTCCGCGGACCGGTACCGGTCCGCGGACCGGTGGTTTGGGACCCCTGCCTTATATGGTCTCTAGCCTTGTGATCAGCTAGGGGGTCCTCAAATCCATCTCAGGGCTATCATGAAATGATTGAAGTTGCGGAGCTCCAGTGCATTATGAAGGCTCACCATCCAACGTGTAGCTGATCCTTCTAGAGCCAGGGTGACAACCCTGATTTTGGCACATTCTGTAGAGAGATCCTTCCCATACTCCTGCATGTAGGTCAGTATGTGGGTGAGGAAAAAATCCCAGTTGCTGGGGATTCCCATTGAATTTGACGCCAAGATGGGGTGCCTTCCATTCTAAGGGTGTAAGCCTCCTCTTGAGTCGCAAGCCTTGCTTTGCGTTGAGATGTCTCCTGGGTGGATCTTCCATGGTGGAAATGTGTTCATCAGTAGCCCCAGAGGTTTCAGCCAATGCCTTTGGAGTTGGATATCCCTTTCATTCATCAGTAGTCTACTTTTGTACTCCTAACTGGCCTGGACATCCTGGATTCGCATGCCATGGATGGTCTCCCTCATGAGGTTCATTGCTTCCCTCAGGAGTTGGTTGGGCTGGTCTGGGGCTCCTTCTAGTTCATCCTTGTCATAAAGGTCTCCTATCTCCTGCTTCCAACCAGGTCATTGGCTCCCACAAATGCGGGTGACATCTTTGGTTCTGCCACCCCAGCCTTCCATTTTCCCAACACCGATTGACCACCTCGGCTTGGTAGCGGTACTTGAGGCAATGTTCTCCTCAACCCAGGCATTGAGGGCCTCATTTGATATTTTGGAGGGTGGGGTTCTCCCGCAGTCTTCAGCTTCTTTATGGTCACTGTCCTGGGTAGACATGGTGTGCACGGTCCCCACAGTAGGGCTGTTACCTCTCCGGGTTGACCAGTTTGCAGTTCTTGCCTAATGTAAGGTCTTGCCTCTCCAATCTTCCCAAGAAAGCAGGACCCTTGAAACTGAAGTTGTTCCAAAAGGAACTTTTATTGAAAGGTTTGTGATAACAAGAGATCCAGGCAAGAACTGAAGCTTCTCACTTAAAACCAGCTATTTAAAGCAATGCTAACCAAACCCCTCCCACACTACATCATTTCAGGGAAACAGAAACTTCATATACAGATCACTCCATTCCTTCTCCCTTTCTTCCACCAAAATGCCAGCGGCTGTGTAGAAGTATCTGGGACCTGACAATTGGATTGGGAAAAGCAGTTTCAGATTCCAGCAGGGCTATCAAGTTCTCTATAAAACATTACGTTTGGCTCGTAGAATAATCTCTGTTGTTTCTGTCCTTTTGAAAAGTCTAGTAGAATATACAAGCTCTCACATATCTCTTTATCCATGGATTTGCACTTTCCTCCCCATATACTTCCAAAAACACTGACTAGGTAACTATCAATATATATTCAATGTAGCATAAATATTGTATTATTTTAAAATAGGCTTTGAATTCATTGCTGTACATTACTTGTGCAGTGGAATTTGCACTTTTAATCTGTCTGGAAAGCAGGCTGTTAAAGAATATACTTCTCAACTAAGCTTTGATATTTTTAATATGAAATAGCAACATATCCAAAATCAAAGAGATACACACCAACAAGCTGACAGTACATCCAATCTTTTTGCCATCCACTTCTCCCATTTTCATGCAGTCCCTGGACAAGGGAAAAGACATTTGAATGAAATATTATGCAGAAGATCTATTTATGGACATCAGATTAAATAATCTATCAAGATAGCTTTTATTAAGAGATTCATCCACTACATCCACTACAGATTCAAGTATATGTTTATACCATAAAATGCAAAATGAATTTAAAAACTAAAGGAATATATAGCTGCCTACTTTTCTTATATATTCCAACTTTCATTCTCTTTCTTTCTTTTGCTATTTTCTTGTCAATTTGTACATTGTACATCAAAGCAGTATTTTAGTGCCATTTTATATAAAACAATGTATACAAGGATAACATTCATCATCCACTAAAATCAGAGAACTGTTTAATGTGTTAATAAACATATTAAAATATTTTAATATAATAGCAATCAAATACTCTCCCATTAAAATAATATTAATACTTTAATGTATTTAATAAAAATTGCTTATGCACATTTCTCCCTCAGATTTGGTCTTTTTATGACAGTATAGAGCAAGATTCAAACAACATTACATTAGGTTTTCTGCACGTTAGGACTAAATTTCTGTTCTACCTATAAAGGACTTCTTTTATAGGCAGTATAGATAATTTTCAGCAAAGGATTCTACTTAAAAGATGAAATGGACTATGCTTCAAGCACATATTCAGATATTGAACTTTAATAATTTAATTACATTCCAAACATAAGATAGTACAGAAACATTTAATCGTTATCTTACACAGATACGGTGAGAGGGTTAGAACTCATGTTATCAGAGTTCAGTTTCAATCTATAGACATAAGATTGAAACAAAACAGTTGAGAGTGATGCTGGTTCAACTGAATACAAGAATGATAGTCCAAAGTAAATGTTTAGAAGAAGTTTGCAGTCAGTATCATGCCTGGGATCCTGCCATCAAAGGTTAGGAGGGAAGGGGCAAGGGGAGAGGAGGATAAATGGGCAATAAACATGTATGGGGATGTGATGGGAAATACGGGTGGGGTTGATAGCTTGATGAAGACCAGGAAACTACAGGACTAGATTGTGCCACCTCTCCAGGCCACTCATCCTGAGATTGGAAGGTTGACTATCCCAAACATCTCAACATTCTCAAAACATCTATGTGGCTCTTCAATGGCTGAAGACAAACTCGTCATGGGGGGAGGCCTGGGAAGAGGAGAAAAATCTGTAACCTTTTAATGTGGGAAATGTGGTTCTAGCCTGACTTCACTGCAGCCAGCAGCCTTTAGTAAAAGAACTTATCACTTCAACCAAATGCAATCGAAGGTCTTTATTTCTTGAGGGACCTGACTGGGGCAGGTCTGAGATTAGGCTAGAACTGCAATAGCAGCCAACCTGGAGAGTCACCTCTACAATGGGGGCTATGCATAGTATATTGGCTGACAAGAGTGACCAGGAGGATGAAGTCTTAGGGGAAGAAGCATCCTCGAGACCCCGTGGTGGAATAGACCTCCCTGAATGGCTGGGCAAGATGGAAGTCTGTGGTGACCAGCCAAGACCCCAAGGTCTCTGGAGGTCAGAAAAAAAGCAAACTGGGAAGAAAAGCTATCTGAGGTGACACGCAGGAACCAGGAGAGCCACCGGAGGGAGTCACACATGGAGAGTGAGGAGGAGGCTAACCAAGGCAAGGCAGATTGGGAAGATGAGATACTGAAGTGAGCAGGGTGCAGGGTGCCTTTGGCAACCTCAAGGTATGTAAAAATCTGCTGTGGATGGCACAGCAGGCTGCCCAATCAGCACATGCCTCTGGCAGTGATAGCATGACTGTACCCACTGCCACAGCTACAGGGATGCCTGCCCCAACAGCTCAGGCACAGGGTCAAGTCCCATAACCAGTTGCTGCTTGCCACTTGTGATGAGCCGCAGTGTCTTAAAAATAACACAAAAACTAAAACATGAATCAAGGTCTTGTAATACCTTCAACTTAGCTTCACTGTTTTATTAGTCACAGTTTAAATTCAAAAAGTAGATAACGAAGCAAAAGGAAACCAAAAACAAACCGCATTGACGAGAGTTCCAAGGCAAACCAAGATAATTAATCACACATTCCAGGAAGATAACTGGGGAAAGTCTATGGGAAGAATGCCAACAAAGATAAACCTCATCCAAGGAAAGCACTACTTTGACTCCAGCATCTGTGAACGGGCAGTTCCAAACTCTTATACAGATCTCATAGCTGCAACCCATGAGGAGGATCATGGCCCTCTCCTCCCGAGTAGACCAAGCTTTTCCCTAATCCTCTCCTCCCAGTGTGCCCTAGGATGGATAGGGGATGGGCCTGGATCCTCCTCTGATTGCTCAGCCGGCCTCTGCCCTTCCCCAGCCTCCACCACCACCTCTGGAGCCACACTTCCACTCCCTGTTGGCTGTTCCTCCTCTTCCTCAGAGTTAGTCTCCACCAGGGGCATGACACTATCCCCCCCACAGGGCCCCCTCCCCCAGGACCAAGCAGACGAGGATGTTGAGGAAACCAAGCATGGAAGTCATGGACTAAACGAGGAGCATGAACATCAGTGGTATCAACCCATCGTGGCATCCTCTTGTCCATAACCTTTCTATGCCACCAAATACTGAAATCGGCCCCGCAACTGGTGTGAATCTCGGATGCTCTCCACCTTGTACTCCGCCTCTCCCAGAGGGGCTACTGGGCCCTGCTGTGATGATCTATGCGGACTGTTGGCCGAGGCAGGGACTAACAAGGACCAATGAAAAACAGGATGGATACACATGGTCCGTGGCAGGGAGAGAGGAAAAGCCACAGGATTGATCATCGCCTCAATCGGAAAAGGTCCCAAGTAACGGTGACTGAGCTTTTTCGATGGCTGCGTCATTGGTAAGCATCAAGTAGAGAGCCAAACCCGATCGCCCACCACTAAAGGCAGAACATCGCGATGATGTCGGTCTCAAAACGTTTGTAGTCCTCCTTGGCTCTCTCTAGTTGATCTTGGACCATGTGGTGCACGGCTTTTAACTCTTGCAAGAATGTATCCACTGCCAGAACTGGGGAATCAGACAGGGCTAAAGGGAAAAGTTGTGGATGAAAACCATAGTTAGCAAAGAAAGGGGACACATGGGTGGATGCATGTTGAGCATTGTTATAAGTGAATTCTGCCTCCGGCAGCACTTCCACCCAATTGTCTTGTTGAGAATTGCTGAAACAGTGAAGGTACTGCTCCAAAATAGCATTCACTTTTTCTGTCCCCCCATCAGTTTTGGGGTGATGGGCGGACAACAGACACGCCTGAACCTGCAGTTTCACCAGCAGTGTCTGCCAGAAGCATGCCGTAAATTGTACCCCCCGATCTGATACTATTCAGTCGGGTAACCCATGCAACTGGAATACATGGGAGATAAACAATTGAGCTGTTATCTTGGCCATCGGAAGACCCGCACATGGAATAAAGTTAGTCAACATATCCACCACCACCAAAATGGTTGTAGCACCCTTTGATGGTGGCAACTCAGTGATGAAGTCCAATGAAACTGCCCCCTCCCCCAAGGTCATTCTGGTGTGGGCAAGGGCTGCAAGAGACCAGGGGGCGCACCAGGAGCATACTTGGCTTGTCGACAGATCCACAGGATGCCACATATCCCAACACATCAAGTTTAGGTCTCGGCCACCAAAATGTCCTAGATATGAGGTGCAGTGTTTTGAACACCCCAAAGTGTCCCGTCACCGGACTATCATGACATTGACGTAGGAAAAGGCCATGAAGAGAACCTCCAGGCACTTAAACATGATCATGGAACTACAAGAGGTCCCCAATATATGCCCAAGGAGTCTCTTGTCTCCCATTCTCATCCAATTCTCAACGTCGAGCTGCCACAAATGGGTCCTGCTGCTGCACCTCCTGAATCCTCACTCGGAGGTCCACAGGTTCCTTGGTGGCCGCAAACCACTCCAACAGAATCACCGTCAAGATTTTATCCTCCCTTCGGGTATACTCAGGCTTCCAAGAATCCAACAATCAGTGAGTTGATTCCTTCCACTCGGAACATAGGTCATCCGGAAATCGAATTGAGCAAAGAACAAGGACCATCTCACCTGACGCTGCTTCAATGTCTGAGCTGTACGTAGGTGTTCCAAATTGCAATGATCCATCCGAACCTCGATTTGGTGACGAGCCCCCTCCAGTTTGTGCCGCCATGTCTCAAAAGCAACCTTAACCACCAATAGCTCAATGACCCAAGAAATCAATCATGGTTGGTGCAAACTGACACTTCCCACACTTAGCAAACAGGTGGTTATCATGCAAATGTTGCAACACCAGCCGCACATGTTGCCAGTGTTCTTGCAGGGAGTCCGAGTAAATTAAAATGTCATCTAGATAAATGACCACGAATTGATCCAACAAATCACGGAAAACATTGTGCATGAAATGCATGAACACAGCTGGAGCATTGGTTTATCCAAAAGGCATCACGGTATACTCAAAATGACCGTACCTCATCCGGAAAGTCATCTTCCACTCATCACCTGCATGAATGCGAACCAGGTTGTAGGCCCCATATAAGTCCAACTTCATGAAAATCTTAGCTTGACGAAGCCACTCAATCAGTTCAGGGATGAGGGGAAGCAGGTACTGATTCCTCACTGTGATTGCATTCAACTTGCAGTAATCACAGTGCAGACGTAGCTCCCCCGATTTCTTCTTTACAAAAAGCACTGGTGCAGCCAATGGGGAGGTAGAAGACCAGATAAACCCTTTCCGGAGGTTCTTGTCAATAAAATCCCACAACACGGCCAACTCCGGTTCCAACAGGGAGTATATCTGACCCACCGGCAATGTCGCATCAGGCAACAAGATGATTGGACAGTCATACAACCAATGCAGAGGCAACTGATCCGCCTCCTTCACCCCAAACATAGCAGCAAAGTCCACCAACTCTGCAGATAGATCCAGGTCCACGGGCGTAGCCACACTCCCTGCACAGGAGCGCAAGCAATGGTTGGCACACTTCCTATCAAGGAACTGCACAGCTCCAGATGACCAGA